AGGGAAGTTTGTAACGTTACTTCCCAGCAGCAGAGACTGATGTTTCGTTTTGTTGACTGCCTCCATAAAGGAACTCTCAACACTGGGCAGAGAAGCCTTAAAAACATCCACCCCCCTGGGATTATATCCCTTTTGTCCCTTAGCACCAATGAAGCAGTTCCAGAATTGAGCTGATTTCCACTAACCTATAGTTAGGTCCCAACCACTTGTTTCAGGGGGAAGTTTAACTTGCTATAAATTGAAAAGAATGAACTGCCTATGAAAACAAACCAACAGCATCATGTGCCTCCAAGGGTCAGACCTCAGGGACAGATGTTTGCTTTAATATGCACGTAACCACTTTTTATTGCAAAAAACAGTAGCAGAGATTTGTTAACTTTATGTGATTCAGATTAGGATTTCCTTACGGAAAGGCTGTCCGTTTGCAACACTGCAGATACTGCTGTTGAACTTACATTTTCATGTGCCTGCAACAGTTTTTGGAGTCCGACATCTAATAAACGCTTACATTACCTTTACTGTAGTACAAACATGCCATTTCTTGAAAGGTGTGTACAGCAGCATAGGTATGGTCCAGACAGCATCCACAGCTATTATTTAGGCAGGGAAGAAGATCTGGAGAAAGCCTGTTGTATTTGCATTTTACAGAACAGCAGGACTCAACTGCTTCCCCTACCTCCCCACCATCTTTTCTCAAGTATTTATAGGCCGTAATACTTGAGAAAAGATGGTGGGGAGGTAGGGGAAGGACTCTTTACATTAGTGATGGGTGATAGAACAAGAGGAAATGGGCATAAGCTTAGTCAGGGGAGATTCAGGTTGGATGTTAGAAAGTATTTCTTCTCTGAAAGGGTTGTCAGCCACTGGAATAGGCTGCCCAGGGAGGTGGTTGAGTCCCCATCCCTGGATGTGTTTAAGAATAGGGTGGATGATCTACTTGAGGATATGGTTTAATGGGGATTAGGGATGGTTGGACTCAATGATCTCTAAGGTCTTTTCCAACCTAGAAATCTATGAATCTATGAACTGCCGCACGTTTGTCATTCGTCACACACGCAGCTCAAGATCGCAGCGTTCCACACTTCTGGCAAGTCCCGCTGCACAACTCTTCATCTTATAAGATGCATTTTTGCGTGGTGGTTTTTATTTTTGAGGCTGTGTTTATTGTAAACAGCTTTACTGCAGCTCTTTATCAGGGAAGTCTGGAAGATTTTTTTAATAAAAGAAACTATTTATGGTTGTTGGTAACAGATAGCTGTTACCTCCATATAAAGTAGCAAAGTGGGAAACAAGGTCTTTCATCTAAGAAGTTTGACCTAAATTTCTTAAGTTCTATCACACTTCCAGTTATTTTTAATAGAGGCATACACTATGCAGAGTACAAGAAATATTTGGGATGCATATGAGTTAAAGCCATTGTCCCCTAGCTGTCCTCCCCACACAATTCAGGCTTTTTTCCAGAAGTGTTTTTAAATGAAGCGAGCACTCAACACTTGATAGCACTATAGCAAAGATATATTTCAACTTCAACATTTCCAAACAGGAAGAAACAAAGAAAATGTCTGACATGTCAAAAATATGCTTCACAGGTCAATAATAAAAGACAAAATCATGCAAGCATCTCAGTTTCCAAGCTTAAGTTACAAGTAGTATACAGTGCACTCAAATCCACCATCCAATAAACTTGTTTGTACATCATAAAAAGTATCATATAGACAGAAACCAAATCCCACATCCTCCCCGCCCAAAAAGGTAGTCTGAAAAAATCTCACATCACATCAGAGAAGAAACTGGTATTTTTCTCCAGTGGCATTGTCTGTGCTTTCAGTTTCATTGAACATACACCCAACAACTTAAAACAGCGTTGGACACCGGCGAGGCAAATATCCTAACACGGTAACTACCCAGCAGGTACCCGCAAATGCACCCAATCAACACAGGAAACACGGTTAAACCTAAACAGAAGTATCTGAATGCTGAAAGATTCTCTTCAGTTTTCTACAAAGTTTCATTTTACCCTCCTCAAGGAAGGGCTTTACAGTGCAATACAGAACAATGACATCGAGAAGAATTCTCTTGTTCGTTTTCCCAATCTATTTTGAATATCATTGTTCCCAAACCCGTTGTAAGGGGAAACTTATGCTCTTCCTTTGTAGGAAGGTAAGCCTAAGTCCCGGGATGACTGACCAACACTGACCAACTTTGCCCCCTCCTTAAAATCAAGGGTCACTTTGGCTGATGATCAAACCTGCCACAAGTGAAGTGGGAGATTAATGAACACCTCCGAGATTACAATCCAGTTACTTTTACATCTGCCATAAGCATTGCTATGAAATTGCTGCAGCAAGAATTCCTATCAAAGCAGCATGTTCCAAAGTGAGAAAGCGCGTAACTGAAGTAGCTGGAGTTGAGGATTATAGCATCCCCAGTTGTCACTGTTATTCCCTTAACCAAGCCTGTAGATCTTTCTTTAAACACATGCAAAGTTTGTGCTACAATTCGTTTTTAAATTGCAAATAAGCAAGAAAAGGTGGACTCAATGCATCAATTTGCTATTTGCCATCCACTTTGGGGAAGGTAGCTAGGCAACTGAATAGTAACAATTCAGAGGGTCAGGTTTGCTACAGGGACCTCCCCAGCCTCTCTAGAAACTGCTGTGAATTTCTGCTTTCATCTTTCAGTTTGCGAAGCCCCTGCAGCATTCAGTTCTAGCTGGCACCAGCAAATTAAACTTAAGACATACATAATGGTCAGCTGCGCTAAGAATCGGCTTTACCGTGTCAGGCACACCTAGTCCAGATGTTTTCCTTCAGTGTTTTCTTAAGAAAATGGCAACGTAGGAAAACAAGGCAGTACACAGAACAGCAACAGCAGAATTGCAGAGCTGAGTCAGAGTAAGTTACACAAGAGTTCATACATATCCCCCAAACTAAGGGGCTGTCCTCCAACGGATCTTCCAGTTTCTTGCCTTCCTAAAGCTACCATTACAGACAGACTTTCACCATAGGATTCTATGATTCTATATACATGAAGTTGGAGTATTTCATTGCATTCCCTCTCAAGCATTCACTGCACCTAGCTGTGGTCTCTGGAAACTTTCCACACCTGTTTGCAAGCCAGCTTAATGCTAAGCAAGCGTCCCTGCCATCACAGAGGCATCCAACAGATTACTTCTGATGCAGTGAGCACCAGGCAGTTCCCAACCCAGCACTGTAGAGTCATCAGTGAGAAGTAAGCTGACTTCTGAACTCGCCTAGATGTCATTCCTTAAGTCTGGAATTCAGTTCAGCAAAATGAGTTTTGTACTTCAGTTAGTCAGCTCGTTGCAGCTCCTGGCTAGGTCTGCTCGCAACCCTCCCAACTGCAGTGTCAGACTTAGTCACACATTAGTTTGCCAGAGCACATCCAAGGCTGAGATGTTCCCATCTTTGCCCTCTGCTGGGTGCTGTGTATAAAGCAATAAATTGCACTTCACAGAAATATCAGACTGAGTATTTGTATGAATTTTGAAAGAGTTTCTTTCTCCATCAAGCATTGTACTCAGAAGCAAAGTGCAGAGAAATACTAACTCACACGGGGAGGGGAAAAAAGAGCAGCTTTTAAACAAGTCTGACAACCAGACAACTTTTCTCACTTCATACCATGTTTTTCATACAAACCTTAGTCAGCAGCTTCTCACCTACCATTTCAGTGAGCTCATCGAAAAAAAACCCACAACTATAATAGCAGGAAGATACATTGCCCGACACAAAAGAATCAGAGTAATATATAGTTTCGTTGACTCAGAATTAATTTTCCATGACAAAGACTTTTATCTGGAAGAACAAACTCCAGTTTTATACCTTTTTTCATATTAAAGTGTGCTTTTCAGATTTAAGAGTATATATGGCTTAAGATTTATATGGCTGTTCCTTAAATTGCGTGTCTAATCCTACTCATCGAATTCTAAGGTCCATCCACACATATCAGATAAAACACACGACAGCAAGCCAAGTTCATACTAGAGAACAATCTCCAGTAACCGATCAGATGTTACACCCAGCAACAAGCTTGACAGCACTCTGAAACCCGCTTGTACATGTGTGTTCCTTAAATGATTCTTAAATGATTCATTTGCCCTATTCTGACAGAACCTTCTTATCACAGCAATATAAAAGACTCCATTTGGATATACAGGTGTTGTGCTTGTACGTGTCTTTAAACAGCCAGCCACATGGAATTCCTAGAAAGTTTAGCCCAGTGTACAGGAAACAAAAGTAGTAAAGACCTGCATTTATCTAAAACCATACCTAAAATCATACAGACCTACATATACACCTCAAAAAAAAAAAAAAAGGTCAATCAAGTAGCTTAATGCTGATTGCTAAAGGCAGTACCACCTAAATTCATATTTTGGGGCTACAATTAACACAGTAGTTTAAAAAAATGTGCCTAGCTCTGAACTTAGATACTTAGCAGTGCGTGACCTAGCTTAATAATAATGTTGTTATCTGCAGGTTTTAATCCACCAAGCTATTTGTAATGGTGATCCACGCAAAAGCTTCCTTGGGCAGGGAAGAAAAAACCCCAAAGCAGCCTAGTCACATTCAGTGATTTGTTAGAATCTAAGAGACTTAAAAAAAAACTCTCAAAGGAAAAAAAAAAAGCAGTCAGAAATTAAATCACCATGTAATTGTCTGAAGTGCACCTCAGTTGAAGTTATTTCCCTAAAAGTAGCTCAGAATGAGGTATTCAAGGTTTATTGTCACTACACGTCTACATACATATAGAGCTTTCCAGATATACCTCAAATATTTTCAACCCGTGAAAGATTAAGTGGTTGTAGGGTGAAACAGAAACAGGCCTTTTCTCTGCATACCTAGCAAGTACGCACTCCAGTGGAGATGGATGCATCTCCGTCTGTTTCCTTTCATTCCATACATTTATGCTGATCCACCTCTATAAATTTTTTTTGTATAAGCCTTTCTTAAGCATCGAACAGGAAACAGTACCAAGTGTTATTAATCTTGCAGCAGTGGCTGGGCAGCTTCAGTATGTTGCATTTGCATGGTATTTGCTTGGGTGAGGATAAAATGCTTAACAAAAACTGCAATAAAAATCATAACAAGAAGGCTGCCCAGAAAGACTCCTACAACAGTAGCATAGATGTCTGCTCCGAAGGCTACAGGGACTTTTTCAGCAAGAATATCTTTCACAGCGTTGAATGAACCATTGTTTGGCAGCGCGTTAATACCAAGTAGATGGCACAATAAGGGGTATAAATCTGTAGCATTCATTACTTCTTTGGTGGCATTCTTTCTGAAAGCAGGCCCAACTGCCAAAAAAATTGGATGCATTTCTGGTAAGTTGTTGTCATATCCATGATTGCCAACTAGAAATAAAAGATAGATAAAGGTCAGTATTCTGAAGTTGCAAAACAAGCGTTGAAACTTTTCCTAGAATTAGCGTAACGCAGAAAAGGAACAGCCATCATTTATTCTGGCAGAGGTTTAGGAGAATCATTTTGACCAACAGCACAAGCACAAGATCCTAGCAAGCAACAAGTCACAGAACTACAAAGACAAGGTGCCTTAAAAGAGAATGGAGAGCACTATTAAAAAATAAAAAATAGAAGTAAGCTCCCATGGTAGTAACAGCAGGCAATGGCATGCTATGCTACACTCAAGTTTCCTTGATTTTCCTCACAGAAAAGCTCTGACTTTGCAGCAGGACCAGATCAGTTAGGGAAAACTAAATAAATAAATCCATGTAGAGACAGACTGTCTGTTTAACACACTCATAGTAGCAGACAGACCTTAAGATCTGACTGCTTTGCTGCTCTGTCCAATTTTGTGCAATATCTACTCATAAACCAGGAAAAAGTTTATGGGTCCCACTAGTGGGTCTCTAGCACCCTTTCCTTACAGAAGCACTAAAAATTCTGAACAAGTGAATAAATATGCAGGCACAAAAAGTTGCTCTCGTCAGCTATCAACAAACAGAAAACTTGTTAAGTCTTGCGGGTAATGCTCTTCAGCTTCATAACCAGCAGCAAAGTTTAAAGTTTTCAATTACGAAACTTAAGAACTTATCATAAGACATCTACATTTTTCCTCCTGACTAACCAAAAGTTACAGTTTACTGTCTCCATTCTACCTATACTAAATCTCAAAACCCCAAGGTAAGTGTTGGGTTTTTTCCTGCAAATCACTTACAATGCATCTTATCCTACAAGGCAAACAAAAATCACCGGGATACAGAAACAAAATATTCAAAGACTCTTTCTAGCAATAGAACAAGGTTACTGTAAGTGTAGGCATCCACAGAAGTTGAAGGATTTCAGAAAGCATTCTTGGATTTCCAACCCAACCCTTCTCCAGGAAATCAACAGTACATGATAAAACAATGCCATTCATTTTCTATTCAGTAAGTTCAGTTACCACTTTTTTTTTAAGCTCTCAGGAAGTGTTTGTCAGTTTGTTAGATCTTGCAAGAAGACCTCAAGTATGTGGCCACTAAAACATGTGAATGATCTTATCTCAGAAAATCTAATTTTTAGAAACGGTAAGTCTAGTTCCCCCTCTCCTAACAGTAGGGTGCCTCCCATCCCATCAGGGAAAAAAAACAAAAATTCTACACACTTAGATACAGAGCTTTCCCTCCCGGTATTAAAAAAAAAAATAAAAAAATTACATTGTTTGAAACTGAAAGAGAAAGTACCATGTAAGGTCTCTGACTAGGAAGACAAAGCAGAACACTGTCAAGATAAAATACTTACACTGAAAATGGTCAGACTTATTATATACAATTTCCCATCCTTCATCAGCCAGTGCCAAGATTGGTTGAATTTTACTGTTGTGTTTGTAATGGAATCTATCTGGAATCTGCTCCTTTTTATATACAGTCATGTTGGGATGAGCATTGGTCAGGGCTTCGTATACTTCATCCAGTTTGCCTTCAAACAAACAAACAAAAAGACAGAACTTAAACATACCAGTATGCTTTTAGTAAACTCATCACTAGTTCAAATGTAACTGAAAGAAGAGGGCAAAACGCACTTCCCCAAAAACTCATTATAGCTGTAAGAGACAACAGCAGATTACAACACTTAGAGAAATTAATGTGAGAAATCCAGAGATCATTCACAGATCACAGCTGGCATCAGACTTCACAGCCTATTCCCAAGCCGTAAGTGCCCTCCTAATTTTAGAAAAATCCCTCATTTTATAGTTATCAGAATGTGAGCTTCTCCCAAGAATGAGTCAGGAGGCATTCAGTTGAGTCTCATGGAAAAGAAACCAGCTTCTCCTAGCTCCATGTAAAGCTCGAAAACAAGAAGATAGCTCCTAAACTTGTTTATGAAGTAGTGCACACATTAAGGCAATATTCTGTCTTCCCCTCAGTTGGCTATGATGACAAGTGGTACTTTTGATTTATTTTGAAGCAGTTTGTTAATTGTTTTCCTTTAAAAGGCCAAAAAGAGAAGCCACATTGTTTCTTGGCGTCTCTGAAAACTTCTGAGTGAACCCAACTATTTACTTCTCCTTCTGCAATATGCTCCAATAAACATCTACGTTATTTAACTTCATTCCCAGTGTTGATCTTCTACCATTCTGATTACAAGTTCAGCCAATTCAGCCAAGACCCAACAAGGGGCAATGGATTCAAACTGAAAGAGGGGAGATTTAGATTAGATCTAAGGAAGAAATTTTTTACATTGAGGGTGGTCAGGCACTGGACCAGGTTGCCCAGAGAAGTTGTGGATGCCCCATCCCTGGAAGTGTTCAAGGCCACGTTGGATGAGGCTTTGGGCAACCTGGTGTAGTGGAAGGTGTCCCTGCCCATGGCAGGGGGGCTGGAACTAGATGATCTTTGAGGTCCCTTCCAACCCAAACCATTCTATGATTCTATGATTCTATGATTCTATGAATTTAGAAGAAGTAGCTAGTTTGTTGCTACGTACCACGTAACATGATAGCACTGGCAATTAATTGCCTGGGGATAAGCAAAACCTGACTGCAGAAGCGCTCAGGTCACAGTCTAGATGCCACCGACATGTTAGGAGCTGCACAAAGATTGCAGAGACCTAAGCAGGGAACACACAACAAACGTGCGAAGGGACACCTTGGACTGGCAGATGAAGATGGCACTTTCAGTCTAGAACTGTTTTCCACCCCCAATTCTTTATTTGCTTATTTCCAGTTTCTGAGCTTTGCTTCCTGGTAAAAGTCACTGAACAGGCAGAAAGTAGTTGAACAACCTGCAACACCAGTGCACAGAAAGGAGGAAGCAGGAACACAAAAGCAAGTTCACAAATCTACATGTGAGCAAGTTGCTTTGATTCCTCCCCACCCCTACGAGCACACACTCCTACTGAGGGCTACGCAGTGTACGCAACAGACTTCTCACTAAAACCAAACAGGACACTTCAGCTCCACGAGCAATTTAAGAACTTTCTGCTACGAGCGTGCACAACTCCGTGGGACAGCTGAGCTCACAGCTGGTCTCTGCAGACCAGTTTCAGTGCCACAAGATCTGAAGCACCGTTGGAAGATGTTCACATCTTCTTTGTGGCCAACACTGCTGTTCTTAGCAGATGAGTGGGATTTAAGCACATCCTGCCATTTTGACTTGTCATTTCTTGCTCGTTCTGCCTTCACAGCTGGCTGTACATCCTGTGGCGAGTGTTGCTACGAGCGAGCTCTTCTCCGACTGTCTGTGCCACGAAATGACCGCCTTGATGACCACAAGAACAAGTGCTTAGTTTGACCTGAGACACCTCCTGAAGTAAACCAAGGAAAAAATCTGGTCTGCCATTTACAGTGTGCATGGAGTTTTGAGCATATCTCAGACAAAAAACAGCTGGGGGAAAGGCTCAATTAAAGAAAGATTCTTTGCTTTCCCTCTCAGTTCCTAGGATCCAGTATAGAAATTGTGGAGGAAAACTGTGAGTAGTTTAATGTATAATGTTTCTTATCTCAAATTGGCATAAGAAAGAATCACTAGAAACACAAGAAAGGTCAAGATGAGACAGCAAAACTCCAGATATGATAGAGATAGTTGCAGCAACAAGAAAAGGGACTCCAATCTAGTATTGCCAGGACTATATTACTAACAAAGTTAATTTCGTTATGCCAGTTTTCTACATGGGAAAACAGAGAGGAGAAGCCACAAATACAGCAAATTATAATTTGACATTAAAATTAATTGTTTGAATTAATATATTAATCTTAAATGCAAGAAAAAGGCCAGCATCACCAGCTGTGCTGCAGGTACCATCTTCATGAACATACAATTAGTTCCACCCAGACTAATACACTATCATGGCTTTAATCCATCTCTTGGGGAAGAAATATGGAGCCAAACAGTTAAAATAGCAGAAATTGTGGCATTTTTAAGCATTCAAAGTTTTTCTCAATGTCTCACTAGGTTTTATCTTTGCCTTAGTTTAAGCAAGACAAATGGAATAACTGTTGAAGAATCAGTCTTATATATTTAAATATATGTTATTTCATAGCTAAACTGTAAATTAAGCTCATCGTTTTATAATAAAAATTACAGCTGGTTACACAGAAAGAAGGAATTGTAGCTGTGCTCAAAACTAATTCTTGTTTACCTGAACCTTTGGGAAAAACTAAATCCAAGCTATTTCTGAAATCCATTGAAATGGCTCTTTTACTATTCTGTGATCTAATTGCTGCAGAGATACTGTTTCCTCTCAGCATTTAGCAGACAGGAGAATCAGGTTACGCGTCTTTAAGTTCTCATTTACCGCATTTGGGATGTTTCAGCACCAAAGTTTACTTTTACAACTTCTTTGTTTGGTAATGAGAACATCCTGGTCAACCATGTTTGTCCCCGTTAGGATGGAGCTCGCAAACTTGGCTCTTCTAACACCACTCGGAGAAACAGCACCCAGCTACAAGCACCTGAGTGTGCTCAGGCAGCAAATTATCTCAGTTTGGACATACTAACGTTTTAGTCTGGAGTATTCTTCAAACTCAAGATTAAAAAAGACATTTGTTTACACAATTAAAGGTCACTTACGTCTGCAAAATACTCTCTCTGCTGGGGGATTAAATACAGAGTGCTATCCGTTAGTGATGGAAATGTTATAGAAATCTCAAAAAGCACCTTTTCAGAAGGCCACCTTAAAGCTCAACCTCCAAATCAGCGCCCCTGCCCACACAAAAAACGCTGTTTTCCAGGTTAACACATTTGCACTGAATAGCTGTAGCTTTTGATCACCAAAACAAAGAGCAGCACACGTACATCGTTGACACTAAACATACACCTGACACTTAAGCAACCCTTCAGTGACAGCAACCAGACCTCAGATTTCAATTCCAACAGCATTCTTGCTCATCATTATCACAATAAAAGTGGCATGAACATAACTGGCTGGCTGTTCAGCGTGATGAGAGAAAAAAAACTAAAGTGAATGACAATAGCTGGCAGCTACTCAAACAGCCAACAGAGGCCTTCTTTTTATCAAAGGTCCCCATCTGGTTTCAGTTTACCGTTTGAGTTAGAAATCTAATTCTTCCCCTATGGCTTTAGCATCTTGATGAAAGGCAAGATATGTAACATTCAGTTGCTATCTATCTAGAATGCCGTTCAACCTTGACAATGCCCCTAGATTATCTCACTTCTGATAAGGACTAAAGGATATTTGGCAATATTAGTCAACAACAGACAGATTTGCTCACTTTTCATTTCAGAAAGTTAATTCAGGCTTTTGACAGAGCTAGCAAAAAGAACAAAGAAGTGATCCTGCAAGTTCTCCTTGTGCAAGGCTGATGTCCTACCACCACTTCAGTTAAGGAATGAAGTCTATAAAGTTTCAATACTCAAGTATTTTCTTCAGAGAATTTTACTGCTACAGCTCCTACCTTCTTTTGGCAAAATAGCTACTGCAGGAGAATGGTCAATGACTGTGTAGAGCTCTCTATTCACATACTGATCAAGCTCAATGAGCCTTTCCAAGGAGGACTGTGACATTCCATGATCACTTGTGATTATGACATTTATCACATCCCACAGCTTCGCTTTCTTCAGTTCAGACATAAGATATCCCAGCTTTTTGTCAACGTCAGCAATGATCGGTCCCATAAGTGGGTTTTCTGGGCCCAGAACATGTCCCATCGCATCAGGCTGCTCCCAATATAGGAGACCAAAGTTTATGGGTTCTTCTGATGTAAACCAGTCAACAAGCCTAGCAACTCTATTTTCAAAGGAAACAGATTCGTTGTAGGGCATATAATATGTAGGAAAGACTCCATGTATTTTCACATCTGTTCCAGGCCACATTGCTGCCCCGGTTTTATGTCCTTCCCTCTGGTTCGTTACCCATATTGGACTGGCTTCTTCCCAGAACTTGGAGTTATAGATGTCCATTTTGTTCATAGAGAAAGTTTCATTCAGAACAGGATCATACATCTCATTAGCAACTATACCGTGGCTTTCTGCATAGAGACCAGTCACCATTGTATAATGATTAGGATACGTTTTCGTTACGAACACATTAGTGACCTGTTTGACATGAACACCATTTTCCATAGCATAATGAAAACTGGGAGTTGAGAATTTATAGATGTAATCCCATCGAAATCCATCAAAAGATACTAGTAACACTCTGGGCTGGGCTGGCTGGAGAGACAACGCACTTGGAAGAAACAGTAAGAAAACTGCCAGGACGTTCCAGTAACAGTTGACGGCTATTCTGGAAGGTATTCGTCCCCTCTTCTGAGGCAACATGGCATCTGTTGAGCAGAGACAGAAGATTTGTTTGCGTTAACCTGTTTGCCAAAGTCGGAACTTAGTTTTAAGAATCAGTAGCTAAAATATTCCTTATGTATTTACACAGCTTGCGTTACTACTACTGAGCACTCCAAACATAGGAACGAGACCCTTTATCAATCAGTTACATATCCCAATTCCGGAGATGGGAAGTGAGACACTACAAATTCTTGAACGAAACACAGTTCCCAAAGCAACTTCTTTATGCAACGCCACTGCCCAACCTCTTCCTTTTCACTTCCTGCTGCCAATACACAGGAACTCCTGCTCTTGCAATTTGATAAGTTTTCAAATATTTTCTCTACTCAAAGGTGTAAGAAACTGTCCGATGAGAAAGCTCCTGCTTGCTAGGAGTTAACATGCAAACAAGGGCAGTTCTCACCTTGAGAATGACAAAGTCCATCTCCACCAGAACTTTACAACCCTCACTAAAATGTCCGGAGCATTACTTCTCTTCTGCGCAAGCGTGGCACAGACACACTCGCATCACATCAGCAGATGGCAGTAGGAAGTATTCACTGGAACTGGAGGACTCCACACCTGCACAGCTTCCATCAGGGAGGGGGGACCACCTAGAAACCATCCCTTCTCAGCCCCGACATTCAGTACGGGATTACTAAATGTGCTGAGGACAATTTCTAGTGGAGAAACTCGCAAATAAGCTTTGAATTTCAGATACAGCAGTATATCCATTAAAAGGTTTTGTTGCTTAAAAGGTGTCAGATCCAGAGTTAAGGAAACAAAGAGCAGGAACATCAGTTTCCCAATGCTTAATCTCATCTCTAACCTGATCATAACTTGCCTACATAGCCAAGCTCTTCCTGATGAACTAATTCTGACACTACCTAAAGGTCACTTCTAGTGTACAGACAGCTTTACAAACAAGAATGTATACAAGTCATACAAGTCTGTGCAGTTTAAGTTCTTCCAACCTACCACTTATGTCTCGGATTGTATTGGAAAGAGGTGGTTGAAAGATTCAGTTGTGAACCACTGGAAATACTACATCTTTCAAGCAAGTATCATCTGTCCTTTCCAGTCAAATACCACTGCTACCTCAGTGCAAGCAGCACGAAATATGCAAGAAACAAGAAATATGATGCAAATCCTGTCCAGGAACTGCATGAGATGGTGACCACTAGACACTGCACCCTAAAGCATTTACTCCCTAAACATTCGGCACTAATTCTGATCATATGACTTAAGGATATTGACTGTTCCTAGCTATGACTGGCATTCCTTCACTAACAGTATGACATAATATGACACACAATTTCATATTGTATTGGGTTGTACTCCCTGGCCTTTCTAAACACCTTCTTGTTCAAAACTGAGTTATCTAACTCAAAGTAAGTTCCCTGTAAGAACCTTCACACAGGATTTCCCTATCTGTAACCGACTTAAAATTTCAGCCTAATATTCCCCACTTCTTGCTCAACAGCATCATTTAACCACAAGACCAGATACTGTTCAATCCAATCCTGAGTGTGGACTGGACTGATACTCCACACATTTCCCTTTAGGTTCCCATTTTTCAGCAATCCTGTGGAACAAGTCACTACTTAAATTCATCTGGAAAACAGCGACTGTGTAGCAAATAAATCCATATTAATATCCAGAGTATATAAAGATCTTAGTTAATATAAAAACTTATAACATAATAAGCATCTGGATACCACCGCAATGATGGAACACGATTTGTAGTTTTGGTAGAATATAAGGTATCTTCCATGGAAAATATTCCTACTCCAATTCCCCAACTAAACCTCTCGCATATATATTTACACTGGATAACAGCATAGGCACTGTTGACCTGCAGGTGGTCAAATGTTACATCGAACCTGCGTGTCTCCCAAAATTAAAATCCAGGCCTAGAGTCCTGCTAAGAACAAGCTGACACTTCAGAAGCACAATTCCCCTTCAGAAAACACCACAGACCCACAGGCTGCGGAATCACTCAGTTTCACCCAACGTGGGATTTCTTTCGGCTGAATTTGAAGGAAGAAAGGGAGAATGTGCCGCTGTGTCCATCTGTACCCCATCCACCAAATTAAGTGTAGCCCATGGTTGAGTCATAAATTCCCCGTTCTGGGGACTGACAAGAAGGAATTTAAGTCCTCTCAAGTGAAATCAGGTCCTTACTTCGGAATTTCACATAGTTATCAATGTCAACATCATCTAATCCTTTAATTGCATATTTTTAATAAAGCTTTTTTTTCAAGGCCTTCCTATACTGGTCTTCACTGGATACATCCTGAGCACATAGAATGGTTTGGGTTCGAAGAGACCTTCAAGATCATCTAGTTCCAACCCCCCTGCCATGGGCAGGGAAACGTTCCACTACCCCAGGTTGTTCAAAGCCTCATCCAACGTGGCCTTGAACACTTCCAGGGATGGGGCATCCACAACTTCTCTGGGCAACCTGGTCCAGTGCCTGACCACCCTCAATGTAAAAAATTTCTTCCTTATATCTAATCTAAATCTCCCCTCTTTCAGGTTAAAGCCATTGCCCCTTGTCCTGTCACTACACATCCTTGTAAAAAGTCCCTCTCCAGCTTTCCTGTAGGCCTCCTTTAAGTACTGGAAGGCTGCGATAAGATCACCCCGGAGCCTTCTCTTCTCCAGGCTGAACAGCCCCAAATCTCTCAGCCTGTCTTCAGAGGAGAGGTGCGCCAGCCCTCGGATCATCTCCCGACCCAGGTCTCTCCAGAAACCCAGCCCCACAAGGCACAGCTCCGGGGTCCCAAACGGGCTCTGGTGGGACGAGAGCACCCGAGCGCCCGGAGCAGGGAGCTGCCGCAGGGCAACGCAGACGCTCAGGACAGCCCAGGAAGTGCCCCGGGCCGCGTTCGGCAGCTAGAGGCGCTCAGCAC